GGTTTCTCTCCCTCCTGAGAAACAAACATAGAAACATCAGGAAACTGAAATAATCAAGCAATAAAATCACAATCTCAAAAGAAATGTGATTATCAGTTGTTCATTGACAATATGCTTTCTTTTACCTTTCCCCATAACCCAGAATCCTTATCGTACCAATACTTCCCAGGCTTCAACTTCTGCGGCGGAATCGGACACCCGAGAATCTCGGCCAATTCCTCCTGCCTCAACTGCCTCCCATTCACCACAAGCTGCTCCGGCCGCAATTGGTTCGCCGCGCACTCTCTCTCCGCCTTCATTATCTGCCTGACCTCCAATGGGCTACACACCCGCGCCAAAATCCTCGAACACTTCCCCAAACCCGACCGGTTCGCTTCATCTATCAGCTTCCCAATGCAGCTCACGCACTTCCTACCTTCCGGCATTGATCCCATCGCCTTCAAAAGGCAATTACCGCAATACCTCGCGTCGCAAACCAAGCACGCCTCCCTCTCCTTCAATCTGTTCCCCTTCCCACACCTACTGCACAGCCCTCGCTTCCACGGCGTCTTCTTCGCGACGGCCGGCGACTCGGTGGCAGCAGTCGACACCGGCGAGGAAGACGAGTTGTTCGCCTCCTCCTCGTCTTCCTCCGAGTACTCGTAATCCCTCGGCGTCGTGAACGTGACCACCGCAGCGCGCCTCGGCTCCGCATTCTCGCCTCCCGCGTCGCCGCTATCCGCATCTAGGGCACACAAGTCCGCGCTGAACAAGCTCCCGCTCTCGCCCTCGCCCTCGCCCTCGACCCCATTCTCCGCCTCCAGCTGCGCTCTCGACACGGAGGACGCGCGTTGACTCTCCACGGGCGAGCCCCTGAAGGCGACGCCGCCATTCCTCGGCCGGCCGAATCGGGGGATCTTCGGACCGATCGGGGCGGCGACGGGGATGGCGGACAGATCGGCGAGCCGGGGAGGGGATCGGGCGGGGGCGGGCGTGGCGATCTCGACGGGATCGACGCGGGGGACGTCGTAGAGCACGGGGGGCCCGTCGTACTCGACGGCGATGGAGTAGTCGAGGTGGTCCTCGTCCGGGAGGGGGGCGCCGGCGGGGAGCATTCGGCGGAGGACCTGCTGCCAGGCGGTCTCGCGCTCGCCCTCGTTGTCGGAGGCCATCTGCGTAGGAGCGAGGGAGGGAGGGAACAGGTCCGGGGGATTCTTCCTTCCCCTTCGTATTTTCAGTTTGATTTTCTCGAGAAAGTGGAGGGAGAAAGGGACGAGCTGCAGAAGTAGAAGAAGAAGAAGAAGAAGAAGATGGCGTTGAAAGTCGAAGCTGGAGGAGAGAGAGAGAGAGAGAGAGAGTCAGAGAGATGCGAAGAGAGAGAGAGAGAGAGAGAGTTGTTGAGTGAACGGAGCTGACTAACGGCGGGGAGTGAAGTTGACCCTGACTCCGTTAAAAATTTCGGGTAACGGCCGTCGGAGTTGAAACCGTCAGTTGCCGCGGCGCGACGCTGCCGAGGCCAGCAATCGGAGACCGAAGAAACCACGTGGGCCGGCGGCGCTTGTTATTCTCCCCCCCTTTTCATTTTTTTTTTCCGTGAATGCCAAATACGGGGCCGAGTCAAGGCATCCGCCCGCCGAAAGGGCGGCGGATGGGCCGGGGGCGAGCCGCCATGCTCCCGGCGCGCTCTGGTGTGTCGAGCCGGTTTGGCCTGTTCGTGGACCGAGACCACGGCGTGCTGGAGCTAGCCGTGTAATGTGTTTTGGGAGCGGCTCGTCTTGATAGTATCCCGACTCCTATCCTTTTGCCAATGACCTTGTAATGGTCCGGAGAAAATTATACATATGAAAAGGGCTCGTTACGAGATAGATCTAGCTAACCCGACAGACATAGGCAATGGTGGGTTTGATTAGGCCATGTTATGCTCGGGTGAGCCCTGTCGGTTCGCTGCTCCTATTTGTTATACGTTTTTTTTTCACACATGTATTTCAACATACATGTGCATTGGGGTGTAGTTGAGTGAAGTCAAGTCGATACAGTGCCAATCTTGAGCTCGATCCGACTAGTATCCTCCGCGCTCAAAACTCTATTCAATTCATGTATATAAAATTAAGCTCAAGTAGACTCAATTCAATTTCGACTCAAATCATAACATAAATGTATATAAACTCGAGCTCGAGCACAAACTCTATAGCTTCCCTGCAGTTATGTATGTATAGGCACAACGTGCAATTGTAAGGACTTGTACATCATTTTTGTAACTATGGAATATTTTTTGGATGAAATAATAGTAATTCGATTATACTAACGACCCTATCGAGTTTAGTTTTGGCGAGCTCAAACTTGACTCCAAAACTAGGCGAGTTGATCTTGAATAATTCTCGTACCGAAGCGGAGCTACTCGGAAGTAGCCCGACTCAATTACAGGCGATCGACAATCCGTGAAAATATGATTCTTTTCTTTGCCCTTTCAATAAGAGATATCGATTTGGAATTTCCATTCCGTCTCACGCTACGATTTCGACACCGCGGGGAATAATACAAGTACCTTTCAAAAATTATCGTCACGCGACTAAAAATCAACGAAGAAATCGTATGAAGGCTCCACGAGAGATCGCGCGTGTCAACCTCTAATTCCGGCTCGACCCATTTGGATCTTTCTCCCCTACTCTCTAGATCCAAACTAGGGGTGTCAAAAAAGCCCGAGCTGACCTGGCCCGAACCGGCACGAAATTTTAGGATATTTTTAGGGTCAGGTCTTATTTTCTCCGAGTATGGATTTTAGATGTGGGTATTTGTTAGGATCGGGCTGGGCCGGGCCAGGTTGGGCTGGGCCGGGCCGGGCCAGGTTGGGCCGGGCCGAGGGTTTTTTGACCTAGCACCAAATATAACCCTTCTCCCCTCCCCCCTTGCTCTCGTCTCTCTCTGGCGGCCGTGAATCTCCTCTCCCCCCCCTTCGATGCTCTCTGTTCCTCCTCGTCCTTACAATGGCGGCCGTGAAGGTTGCGAACATGGCCGTGGTGGCCTTCATCCTCGCCCTCACGGCGATCGCCGTGACCACCCAGGTCGAGGCCCCGGCGCCGCAGCCTTCTTCTCTTCGCCTCCAGTTCAGCCTCGACCACAGCAGGAGATCGGAGGACGACCTGATCTTCCTCGCCTCCCACGCCGCCGTCGAGATAGCGAAGTCGTCGATCCTGGACAGCCCCAGGTTCCGGCATATCCGATTGATCTCGCCCTCGCCCCCCTCGACCCGGAAGCTCGTCTGCTTGAACAAGTCCAGCGACCGCGTGTGGAGCGAGGCCGAGGCGGAGGACGAGGAGTCGTCGGGCGAGTGCGACGACGAGGACGCGTCGTAGTCGTAGTGCTTCGCGGCATTCCGGCCCTCGAGCACCTCCTCGTCGACCCCTGATTCGTCCCGGTCTCCATCAGCTTCACTCTAGAGAAAAAAAAACCCTAAACCCGACCCGATTCTTGGAGTATATGCTGAACAGGGTCTTGGGTCGGGTCGGGTCAAGCCTGACCCTGTATATTCGGGTCGGGTATCATGAAAACCCGACCCGACCCAATGACACCCCTAATCCAAACGACGGGAACCACGAATTTCGCCTCGACCATCATCATCGAACGCATGCATACCTCCTCACGGACACGGTCGCGAATAGCATTTCCTCGTTCGCACCTGCTCCTTCTGATCGATACGTGACGAAGAACGTTTCACCACAGAAAAATGACGGGACTAGCCCGACATCATCCTAAAAATCCCGTACGGTGTGATTCGAACACGGAACCTGCCGCGTGGAGCCATCGTTCATGTCAAGATGTGAACCACGAGTTTGTCTCTACGACCTTTGTGAATACGGACAAAGCGAAATGGCGAGCGGGGGGGGTCCCTGTCTCACCACCGCAAAGCCCCAGAAATCTCCAGAAGAGCTTATGTGGTCCGGACCGTCCCTACGTCGCAACCCGGGAAGGAAAAGATCTCTCGCGCGCGCTCAAATTACCTGCTTGCCCCTCCGGGCAATTTGATTTTTGATTTTTGATTTTTCTCCCGTCCCATATGTTATTGCGTGAGAGAATGGTCAAGAAAGAGGATTGGTGAGGCTTTTGTTTTTTTTTTCTCCGTATATAATCCTTTTTCAAACTTTTCTTTTTCCCCCCGCTATTTAATGCCGTATGTTTTTAATGTCATGGTTTTCGAATATTAGGAAATTTCGAAAAAACTAATTCGATATATTTTTCGACACCGGCGATCACTAAACTGAAGATGAAATACGATCTCGATTCCATGCCGATCAGCTTCGGTATCGAAACGATCGGGATGTTGGGATTCATGCATGCACCACCACCTAGTAACTAATTCCAATCAATTTACAATTTTCTTCGTAGGAATTACTTATACCTACGAAATAAAAATAAGGAATGAGTGTAATGAAAGTTCTAAAACTTGTCACGAAAGTGCAATTGAGTTTTAAAATTTTCAAAAAGCGTAACCGGGTCCTATAACTTATCACGAAAGTGCAAATAAGCCTTAAAACTTTCAAAAAGTGCAATCAAGTCTAAAACTTGTTAAAATTGGTACCCTCAAGTCCATAAACCCGTTAGCATTTTGTCGTTTGTCAAGTTGAATGGAGTTAATGGAAGGACTTGATCTCACCAACCTAACAAGTTTCAAGACTTGATTAAACTTTTTGAAAGTTTCAAAACTCAGTTGTACTTTTGTGATATGTTTTAGGAGTTAGATCGTACTTCCTCGACAAGTTTTAAGTCTTTACGTAATCCTAAAAAAAAATAAAAAATAAAAATAGAGAGGAGGACATTATAAAAGTCAAAATTGGAAAAAAATAAGAAGGAGAGAAAGGCATTTTGGTAATTAAACGGAAACCCGAGGGCACGGCCCGGCAATCCGGCGACGCGCACGCGCATCCCCCCCCCCGCCCATTCACAAGCACGGACACACGCTAATAACATAAAGCAATTCTGTTTGGCCCATAGGATAGAAACGAAACTCCCTTATAAAACCGCCCACGTTGCCCGTGTCTCGCCCACATTCGTCCGCATCTTCTCTCGTCGCCAAAGCAACTCGCTCCCCCTCACCAACCTCCCCCGCGCGTCGCCGACACTCGCGAGGGTTTCTCCGGTCCCATCTCGCCGGTGCGATCGTCTCTCTCGAAGGTGCGATCGGTCGTTTCCCGTCGCGGCGATGCGATGCTCCGACGACGCTCGCCGTTCCGCCGCGGACTCGTGATTTTTCCGGGTTTTTTTTTTTAATTATTGATCGAGGTTTTGGGGATCTCGCAGGTCTTCGCGGGAGCTGAAGCATGGAATCGGCCGCCGCAGCAGCAGCAGCAGCAGCAGCCTTTCGGTCGCCGGCCGGCGCGCCGAGGCCTTCGCCGTGCGTGCCTAGATCGGGCGTTCTGGCGGCCAACGGGCCTGACTTTGTGCGGTTCGGCGCCGGACTGACCGCCTCGTCGAAGGTATCTCTTTTTCCCTTCGCCGATTCCGGTTCTATCGCGATCGATTTCGTTGGGACCCGGTTGATGGATACGGCTTGCTTCGAATAATCCGAGTGTGATTCTGAGAGTTCTGCTGGTCGCATGAGATGTTCGGGATCTTTTCATTTTTTGGATTCTGTCATTGTGGCTTCTTCATGAACTTTATTCAAACAGGTCAAATGCTTTGATAGTGTCTTCTGGCCCCCTGTTCCCTTGTGTTTGCTTTTAGCGGCGGCCGCGCATGTTTTTTTTTTTTTTTAAGCTGGAGTTTGTGGAGCAGTGTTTTTGGATATGACAAAAAGGAAATCAATAGAATGGGTGCTGGAGGAATATTTCTTTGGCAAAAAGCTCAGGGGCCTCTTCTGTTAAGTTGTCATATTCAAGCTTTTGGATGTCATTGCTTCTGTCCTGCAATATCCTGTAGTGTCTCTGGGAAACTTCCAGTATATATTTGTCTATGTAGTGCCAAATGGAAATGATTGTTCACGATTTGTATTGGACTTGTGGATGGAGCTTTGTCAAGATTGTTACCTCAGGTTTCTGGTTTCTCTACTGCCATTTTAGTCCTTCTTTAAGTTGGTGGGATATTTAACTCGCATATTGTGGATGCCGACAAGTCCGGTTGCTTTAGAATCAGCTGGAAAGAGCCAATGTTGCAGAAATGATATTATGCTTCGAAGTTCATTGTCTGATAGTGTTTCCCTCTTGCAAGCTCATGCCGTCTGAACACTTACTGTGGTCATAGATACATTTTCCTTTTGCAAGCTCATGCTGTCTGAACACATACTGTGGTCATAAGACGATGTATCGGTATGTTGACTTGTTCATTTCGTTGATCGATTGATGTATGGCAGCAGCATCACACTTCAAGTATTCGCTCAAGGGCAGGCCCTAAGAGAGTGGCCGTGGGAAGCAGGAGATGTGTGGTTGTTAGAGCGTCGGCTTCTTTTGAATCGGCGGGTTCTAGTGCTCCTATTGCACCACTTAAGCTGGAATCACCCATTGGGCAGTTTCTATCGGAGATCTTAGTGAGCCATCCACATCTTGTGCCTGCTGCAGTTGAGCAGCAGCTTGAACAGCTCCAAACCGACCGCGATGCTGAGATAGAAAAGGAAGAACCTTCTGCTTCTGGTACCGAGCTGGTTTTGTACAGGTTAGAAGAACGTCACTCGATGCATTTAGGTTAGGCATGAATAATCTTTTTAAGTTCTAATAATTTATAATTTTTTTGATCCATCAGGAGAATTGCTGAGGTAAAGGCTAATGAAAGGAGAAAGGCTCTGGAAGAGATACTGTATGCATTGGTGGTGCAAAAATTCATGGATGCAAATGTGTCCTTGATTCCGTCGATAAATTCTCCTTCTTCAGACCCTTCAGCTCGAGTTGATGGTTGGCCCGCTCAAGGAGAGACGCTGGAGGAGCTTCACTCTCCTGAAGCCTATGAGATGATCCAAAATCATCTGTCTCTCATTTTGGGAAACCGCTTGGGTGATACTACTTCCGTTGCTCAGATAAGCAAAATCAGGGTTGGACAGGTCTATGCAGCGTCAGTGATGTATGGGTATTTCCTCAAGCGGGTTGACCAGAGATTTCAGCTTGAGAAAACAATGAAAATTCTTCCTAGTGCGTCAGACGATAATGAGGTTAATAATGTTCAGCGAGTTTTTGGAGAAGACAGAAAGCCAAACACTGGAGATGCTTCTTTCGCAACAGTGCAGTCGCATCCTGAAGTTTCATCATGGTCTGGCGGCATGACCCCCGGGGGTTTTGGTAATGGAATAAAACCCTCCAGGTTGCGTACCTACGTGATGTCCTTTGATGGAGAGACACTTCAAAGATATGCAACGATTAGATCGAAAGAAGCTGTGAGCATCATTGAGAAGCACACGGAGGCCTTGTTTGGAAGACCTGAGATTGTCATAACACCTGAGGGTACGGTAGATTCTTCAAGGGATGAGCTTATCAAGATCAGCTTTGGTGGTTTGAAGAGACTTGTCCTGGAAGCTGTAACTTTTGGTTCTTTCCTCTGGGATGTTGAGAGCTTCGTTGATTCCAGATATCATTTTGTGACAAATTGAAGCATGTTTGCTGGCGATTGTGCGGGGCAATATCCGATGAGGTTGCACAACTGGCTATCTTGGACAAGACAGTGTAACACGTCGGTGATAGATCTGGCTATAGCTTCTGCTACTTGTCTGTACATATGCATGGGATTGTTCTTGCTAAGGATTGAAGAAAGTCAAATTATGCAATTACTCATCCGGTTGCGTTTTTGGAAACTACTTTCTGCTTTGATCCTCGAATATGTTATATGAAATGGTATTCATAGACATGTGAAGTTGCTGATCAATTATTTGCTGGTGATTGAGAAGCCGAAGAAATTCAAAGTCCGGAGAGAAAAATCAATGTCTAATTATGAGAGCTTAGGAGGAGGAAAAACTTGTACGATTATGATGACTGTGTCGTTGAAACAAACTTGCTGAGTACTAATTAACCTGCAATATCCCATAGGCGTGTTTTGTTTACCTATATATTTAGTACAGCAGGGTGGTGAGATGGCATGAGTTGGAGTATGTTTAAGGCCAAAGAAGGGATAAGTTGCACAGACGCCTCCAAACATGGTACTTGAAGGACATGCAAAAGTTATTGTCTACTTCAACTTCAGCAACAAATGGTATCTACCCCCTTGTTTTTGGTCATTGTTTACTAATGACAGAGAAATTCTGTCAATGTTCAGTGACTGCGTGTCGACATTCAATTGCATTTCCATGAATAATGCATCCAGATCATATGCCGATCTCTTGCCTGCTGGATTGATCGCTAGCTAATTTGTTGTATGTTTCTGCTATCTCATGCTGATAGAAACTCTTTCGCCAAGTTAGATAATTGTAAGAGGAATTTTTTTGTCTCGTGATATTTCATATTTGTGAAATGCCGCATTGTCTTGCTAGTTGTTTGAGATCGTTAGTGTAAGAGGTGGCTACTGGTTTCTGGCTTGCAGCTGTGTTTTGTTAGTTAGTGTGCTAAATTAGATATTAGGACAGTTTCTGATACTTAATGGAGGACCATGGCTCTGAACGATCAACTATGGACCGACAACAAAAGTTTGGAGAAATTTAGAAGAGATATATATCTTTGCCGAAAATGTTGTGAAACGTGAATTTGAGGTTGGCCTGAGAAAGTTGCTCCGATGTGAAGTTAGACCTGTCAAAATAGATCGTAAACTCATTTATGATGGTCTAAATTGTTATATGGGTTAATTATATTAAGTAAATGAGTTATAAATGGTTTTAAACATAATATAGGTGTTAAACGGGTCATAAATGAGTTTACAATTTACTTAGATCCAACCCATCTATATGATTCTCTCTCGTCTTTACTCGATTTTGTCCTTGCTCATTCCGCATTCTCACCTCAGATTGAGTAGGAGTTTTTTTTAGATTGGGTTAAATAAAAAATTATTTTAACAATACGGGTCGATGTGGGTTTGATATGGGTCGGGTCGAGTTGGGTATGTGATGAGTATGGGTCATTAGATTTGTATTGCATGAAAATGGGTAAAAATAGATTAAATTGGTCTATGCTTGACGGGACTATGTCAAGATGGTCCAACAGGTAGATCTTCACGCCATCCCTCAAGTTTGTTAATGCTTTTGGACCTCCTTCGCTTGATGGAAGTTGGATAGCGCTGCATACAAATAAGTTATGCGGAGGAAGTAGTGGGATGATCTAGTTTAGCTATTCACTTCTCATTAACGATGATGATCTAGTTTAGCTATTCACTTCTCATTAACAATGGCGTCGACCCTGCCTTATGCAATCTCTACCTCTTGGAGAGACGTTTTATGCGAATGAAAGGGTTTTTCATTTCTTCGCTCTGTGGTTGTTTCATCTTCTTTTGTTATTCATGGAAAAGGCAATCAATTCGGTGGTGGTTGCTTACCAAAGCAATACCGAAGGTTCAAAGGTTTGTTAGTCCCGAGTAAGTGTGAATGTCGACTTCGTCGTGCCTGTGGATCTCACGGAAGTTTCTGCAGCGGCGAATTCGGTTCTTGGGACTTAAAAACGGGTGAACTTTCAAGCGCGCCTGTTTTACTGGATGCAATGATGAAAGTTGCTTCTGAAGCACCTTTTAAGTGTCTAGATCTTGGCTGCTTTGAGACAAATGGAACGAGCCCCAAATCTCGATCTAACAAAGCTTAACGAGAATTAGAAAGAACAGAGAAGAGGAAACCCCAGATGCAACTCGACATCTATTGCGATCTTCTACCCCAAAATGCTAAGCAGACCGTATAGCCGAGACTCGGCCCGACGAACTCTGTACGAAACCGATACACAGCCAGATGCCTACTTTTGCAGTTTGTTTAATGCTTGTTCTCCTTTTTTCTCAGTAGGACGTTTAATGTTTCGTCCCTGGAAAACGAAATAAGCTTGCATCGTTTTGGAAGTTAAGAAAGGAGCTCTAGCATCAAGAAAGGACAATCTTAACCATACAGCATGCAATGAAGCCGTCAGCTCTTTGCACGAAGACAGACGGTACAACGAACTCCACGGGGCATGCAAAAAGCCAAGCTTTGCCCAGCCCCTGCATGCGTTCAAATGAATGGTTATCTGTCTCTCCCTCTCATCGTCTAGTTTCGCGGAAACTTCATCTTGCTGGTTGCGGAATGTACGGTGTTTTGGATTTGTACTTGGGCAAATCAGCCGAGAAAGTTCAAAACCCGAGCTGCTGGAGGAAGAAGCTGAGGAAGGTGCATTGCCTGTCGCGTGGTTTAAGAAATTGCACTTGCTGTCGCATCGACGAATCGAATCTAACTTACAGAATATCGCAGCATGTTTTGGGTTCGCTTTGAACACGCAGACCGTTAGATCGAACGAATCTCGCGTGTGAACTTGACGGATGCAAATTGTTCACATGCATTGTAGTTTCCATGCACGCCAGACTGTTAGTGAATTTCGGTTTATGTTACTCATGTCAGCTTAAGCTTTCGCCACACAATTTGAATATTGCGATTTTATTCTAGCCAAAAGTTCGATTGGGATTTGTGACATCGGGTAACCTCTGTTTCTCGAATAACCCCCAAAGCTTTTAATTTAGAAAGGTACTCTTGTCCCATACGGGTACATGGTGCCTCCAATTGGGGCTTTGCTCAGGCACCACTCTCCTAGTGATATTACATCTAACAAAATAAATCACTGAAACTCATGTACAAAATCAAAGGCCCATACTGATACACGGTGCCTTCAGTGAGAGATCCCTCTCTCTCTGCTCAAATGGGTATATCTCTAGATTGCGGAGTGAAGCTGCTTCGACACGGTCCACGTGTGCAAGACCTCGCCAAAGACATCGTAGAAGGCGATCTCCGCGTCGGACCGAGTCAAGCGCACGGACATGAACCCTTGCCCGTCGTAGAAGAAGCTCACGTCGCCTATGTTAGTTTCTTTGATGTCGCCCCTCCATGCTTTCGACCCTGCTCCGCTCGTTAGGAATTGTATTGGGCTGCACGAAGAAAAGAGAATGGACCATCAGCCACTTAGTAAATCAGGATACCAATTCTTGTGCACATCTTTGCGCAGAGAATATTGATTGCATGTTAATTACCTTTCGGTGTCCCCAATCTGTTGGAGGCAATGGTCGTGCCCGTTCACGTAGAAGTCAACGCTGTTCGCCTGAAATTCAGGAACAAAATTGAAGCTTTAGATCGAGCTTAAGCAGCAGAAAACCCTTCTGTTGCTTGATTAGCAAAAAGATAAAGCTGCTCTGGAACTTTGATTTACCCGAAGAATCGGGAGGAGATACTTGAGGAGCTCTTTAGTATCGCCATGATGACTTATGCTTCGGATAGCATGGTGGCCGACGACGATCTTCCACTTCGCGGTTGACGCCTTCAGCGCCGATTCCACATCCTACACAACAGGATCGGATCAAGACTCAGATATGCCGCAAATGTCCATGAGTACTGGCTTAGCTATCAAATGAGCTTTGAATAGATCGATTACATGATCTTATCGAAGCTCGTCTTAATCGATTACCTTAAGCAGGTTGGCGATGTAAGTCTTGCGCGATTTAATGCCGCGCCAATCGTAGGTATGTCCCTCTGCATCGGTGAAGTAGGATTTGACGAACGGGGTGGTGTCCAGGAAGAAGATCTCAACCAATTCTGGGTGGAATCCAAAGCAGCAAATCATCAAGGTTCTTAATTCATGAACGCGTTCATTACATGACAACAAAGTCAAGCTGAAGGTAGGTGATGTTGGTAAACAAAAAATGTTGCGAGAATGTAAAATCAACCTGCATTGACAATGAAAGATCTCAAACAGAGCCATCTCCTATCAATTCTTCTCAGGAGAGGGCTCAACTGTGCCTCTGCATCTCCTCTGTAATCATGGTTGCCCAGCACTGCAAGAGGAAACCCACCAAAAAAATCAAAAAAAAAGTTCATAATGTCAACACAAAAGAATAATTTAAAAACTAAATGGAACATCTCGATATAGAGGTGGTGATACTAACCACTGTACCATTGTTTTTGCAAGCTCTTGGCAGTGTAGATGTTGGTGAATGACTCCTCAAAAGCAGGGTCATGCTCACCAGTCAAGCCATTGTCATAGAAATTGTCTCCTGTTGATACCACAAAGTCTATGTCTAGCTTCTCCCCAACCCTCCCCATCTGCACCAAAGCATAAGAATCACATAAAAAAAAAATGTATTTTTAATATATGGTATTTCAATGTGATGTCATTAGGCTGTAATCCCACTTTGCCAAAAAGGAAAAAGGAAAAGAAAAAGGAAAAACCATCGGTGTATTGGTCCTCCAAACTCAGAGATAACAGGCGATCGTGGAGTGCAACCACCAGCAAAATTATTGAGGGACGAGATGCGACAGGGCAAATATAATAAACTAAGTTTTGCAGTTGGTTTTTCAATGCGTGAGAGAGAGAGAGAGAGAGAGAGAGAGAGAGGAACCACTCTCTTCCATTGGAGAAAAAAAGCTAAAGAAAGGGGGGGAAAAAGGAGAGGCCATGATGATCTTGGCATAAACCCAGAAGCCATGCTCTTGAGAACTCCAGAAAAAATCCGACCTTTCTCTTGTTTAAGCAGGAGGAAAACAGAAATGCAGGCACCGACTTGACTTTCCAGCCTTTCTCAGACATCTGACCAAACGAGCATACGACGAGCGAGAGAGGTGGTTGCATCATTATACCTGGACAGCAACCCGAGATTGGTTGTAATCACCACGTCGACCCCAGTCGCCCACCACCAGGAACCCGATCGACCCGTCGGGCTTCACGGGCTGCTCGAACCTCCGGAGCTCCGCACGAGCCGAGACCAGCGCCAACGCGAGCACCACCAGCCCGACGCCACCCACAAGAGCCATCCTTCTGCTGCACACTTCACCACCACCGCCCATCTCTCTCTCTCTCTCTCTCTCTCTCTCTGAGGCTAGCTTCGCACGAAAGGAAAAAAGAAAAAGGGGGGGGGCCTCAAAACCAGAGAGACAAAGGGAAGGAGAAAGACTGACAATCCAAGAACGTTGAACACACAGAGAGCGTGTCCCTCCTCTCTCTCTCTCTCTCTCTCTCTCTCTCTCTCCCTCGAGAACGAAAGACGACCCCTCCTCCTTCTTCTTCTTCGGTTCTTCGGTGTTCCTTTCGACGTAAATGGTAAAAAAATGGGGGAGCGCCCCTTTTATAGAACCCCAAAATCGAAGCTGGCCCGTGGATAAAAATTCCCAAGTTAAAATAATGCGTGGGGACATAACTTCACAACCACTGTCGACCAGCGACTTTGTTTGCCCCCCCAAAAAAAAAACCTAACAGTCAACTAAAAAAAAAAAATCCGACCAAAGAAAAAAAGGGCACTATTAAAAAAAAAAATGGCATCCGTCCAACGCCGACCCGCCAATCGTACTTCGCCACGTGTCGGGCACGCGACGCGCTCGTCGGCAGTTTTAAATCCATCGTTTTTTTTTTTATTCCCAATCTCGCTAACGTGTCGTGTTGAGCTCCGCTAACCCGATTCAGGCCCGCTTTCTTGATCCGATATAATTAAAGCGCTATTATCTATTTATCCGCTCAAATGCATTTTTTCAAATTACGGGATTTTCAAATTTGGTATTGCCTCCCCCGTTTCTTTTTTCGGATAAAATGATTAACGGAACTTGCCTCTTTCTTGTCATTTCTTTCTTTGGCTCGTCATTTTCCTTAGAATAATTGGGTAAATCCGTGGTAGGAAATTATCCGAAGGGAGCAAAAGCTCCCTAGTCCTTCAGCTTTATTCAGATAAGTCAAAAAAAAAAAAGCAACACGCTATATTCTCTATTTTTCCAAGAGAAAATTTAGGAACTTGGACGTTAGAATTAGGAATTAAAATAAAAATTTTAAATAATCACTTAATATTTATCGCGCCACTTCTTGATAAAAAGAAGACGAAAAAAAAAAGGGAGTGCCGCGGCATTATTCACGAAAAAGAATAATGCGAATATGCGATGGGATCAAAAATGGATTTTCAATATCGGATAATGGAATATTCCCGGGGCAAGATCTGGACCAGGGGGGCCCCACGCTCTGGGGAAACGGTGGGCTGTCTTCCGCTCCAAGTGGTTGTCCCAAATATGTACCTTAATTTTCAAAGCTCCTAAAAATAATTATTTAAAATAATTAATCAACAAATAATATCTTCATCGTCAATAATAATTCGTGTCTAAATAATTTCACGAATCATGAAGAGGTGATTGGTTCAACGATATTTGTAAGCGATACAAGCAATCATAGTTTTTCATTTATCTTCTGCGAAACAAACGGCACACTGAATATCTGATTGTTATTTTAACGCCTACTGATGTTTTGAGGACACCGTCGTGCCTAGTCCTTTTTTTTTAATCCGATCGTATTAGCTTTTGTTAGGCGAATTATATGTGGGTTATGATTCCTGAGAAAGGTCGAAGAGGAGGGACGGGCCAGAGCAATTGTGATCATGGGATGCATAGGATGCATGTGGAGGCTAGAAAATGCACAAAATTCCGAGGTTACACATGTAAGTAAGCAGTAACAATTTAAATAAGGCTATGTAGTTTGTTTTCGTTCGTAAGTTAATATCATCAAAGACCCTATATTATACCAACTGTAACACTAATGCCCCAAACTTTTTATCGCGTTATTATAAGTCCTAAATTATACCCGCTGTAACACCAATATCCCAAATTGGTTTTAGCATCGCCAAAAGCTCCAAGCCTGTACCGACTACCGGCAAAAATCCCTAGATTGTTGTCACAATGGTGCAAGTTTTGGGGGTTTCGGTGTTTTGGTGGATTAAACTTGTGATATTTTTAGGTAGATAGAAGGCGTTTTTGCCGCACTGCTACAAGTTCACGGTTTTGATGACAAATCCAAAATGTACAAGGTTTTGGTGTCACGGCCGGCATAATTTAAAGTTTTTCGCGATTTTTTTCTCTTTTTAATTTTGTTTTCTTGGAGGATAGTAAAATTGGGAAACTGTTTATTTTACTAAAATCATTGTAACAATTGCCTCCTATTGGTTTGTCATTGTTAGCCCAAAAAAAAATAAAAAAAAAATGCTGCCCCTAGCTGGTGGCCAATGACAATGGCCAACATATCAAGCATATTATATATGTGCCCACTTCAAATAAATGATACTTGATTTTCGACAAAATACCATTTAAATAGTAAATTTATTTTTTCGATTTTTCAGTTTTCTTTATGTCGTCCATGACTACTTTTTTTTTCCAATTTTTTTTTGCTTATACATAAAGAGGGGTGTGCATTTTAAGTGGTCTATGTATTGAATTAAAAGGATTATTTTTTGCAAAATTGCTCGAGCTTAACAAGCGATGTTTCAGTTTCTCAAAGAAAAGTTCTGAAAAAGGATCAACTCGATTATACATACGCAACATCTTAAAAATTAAAAAAAAAGAGGAAAATGAGTAATTAGTCTTGAGTAATTAGTCTATGAATTTTGGTTCAATATGCAGTGTCATCCCTGGATTTTTAATTTTTTCAATGTGATCCATAAACTATTGGTAAATATTCAATCCGGTCATTTGATTTGCTCAAACGACAAATTGTACGTTATTTGATGAACGTGTCATTTTTTTTATCCATCTACTTCAAAAAAGGAAAAAAAATCAAGTCGTTAACACGTCCATCATTTTTCGATGATGTGAATAATTATATCCTTATTTGAGATGAATATCTTACTTGGCCGCGCAACTTTTTTTGTCGTGCACCGTTCACACTTAATGGATTGGCAGCCACATCATTAATTCCGTTAACTCGAATTAACGAAAGAACGACGTTGAACATTTTCATATAATTTACGGACTAAATTGAACATTCATTAATAGTTCAGGGACCATATTGAATAAATTAAAAGTCCAACGATGATATTGCATATTGAATCAAAGTTTAGAGAAATGGTTCTGGGGCTTTAGGGCTCATTGTGCTCTACAAGTACACTGGGCATGAGTGAAGAACGCTCACAGATGTGCATCTGAGCCAGTTCAAGTGGCCAAAGCCCAATAAACTTACAAGAAGTTGAGTATGCTTTTGACCTGTCTACGTTCGTCTGTTCGTCTTCTGTCTCATGGAAAAGAAATCCATGCCCGTTTGGAATTAACTACTACTGGGGGTCCATCGAAACTAAGGTCGCGACGGCATGCGGGTTTGCTTCGTTATCATCTTCGAATCACGATTTGCATTTAAACGAGTGCCCCTGATGGCGCCTGCCTAAGAACGCTCTGCAGATTCCTTTTGGTCGGAGTCGTTCTGGAAATCGAGAGTTTCTCTATTTGGTTGCCGAACGCGTGCCGTCCCTGCTAAAAAAAGGTCCTCGAAGGGCCGATGAACGCCGCAGCAGCAGCGTCCGGAGAGCTGGAGGCGGCGTGATTAACGGGCTCGGCAACGGGTAGGCCTAGAGACGATGGTCCAAATAGATATTGTGGGCCGGATATCTAGCTCAAACATAAAAAGGCCCAAGATGAAGCTCCCAATCTCCCAAAGCCAGGTCCGAGGTCCAACCAATAGTCAAATGTTTGACCCAGGTTTTCTGACCCCAAATGGTGTTGACCCTATACCTGAGCGGATCATGTTCCTGATCGATATCATGGTACTGAGGGAATCCGGACAGAGTTGAGCTAACAATCTAAAACATGAACTTGTATGTCACATTCGGTCCTCCGAATAAATCGACTCTCCAACTCTTTATCGGCACGATTGAATGAAAAGAAAGAAAGAAAGAAAGAAAAGATGAGAAAGACCGAATTTTTGTCGACATTGGTTATAAACGACGTCGAGGGTGTCCTAAAAGGTATGGTCTCTCTTTGTCACACGCAAACATGGACAAAAGATACTCGAGGATTTAAGCATCGGGGTGTTCCTCTTGGGATAAAGTCCAAGGGCCTTCTCTTTATCTTTTGTGTGAATGTCTAGTCTAATCGAGTATTTCTATCCAAAGAGTCTGATATTAGCAAGTCGATAATCCAAAGCATCACGCCTCGCCTCATTATTGAAAACTAGACATTGATACTTGCACACGGACCATATAGCTCCATAATCCCTTAGACTACATTGGAGCTAGGCTTGCCTCCATATCAATTGCTAGCTAGGTTTAAGACATGCGCCTTTCACATAGGACTTTTATGCAGACAGAGCGAGCTGTGCTAATAATGAGAAGATGAATTTCACCAACATGGTTGGAGGAAACTCAACATCGTGAACAGAAGCAGAAGAAGAGAAGGGCCAGTGACTGAGTCAAAATGGGAGCACGAGACATAGGCAAAGATAATAACAGTAGCACCCCATAGAAACCCTAGGAACTGACTGGTCCCCGTAATAAATCCATGCAAGGCAATGTCTCCATCCATCTCAGTTTCACAAATCTCATCGTTGCGCTTGACGTGAAAGCTCATTCACAACCCCACTTTGCACTTTGCACCCTGCACTCATCCCTTTGAGTCACTGATGCTGACCACCCCTATTATATTTTTCCATTCTTTTTCCCTTACTTTGTTCTTTTAAATTCATTTCTTTTTTTTTTTTTTTGGGGGCATTGGGTGTCGAGATCAGTGAGAAAAGGTGGAGCAAAACCCAAAAGTCAAAAAGACTAAAAAAAGGGGGAAAAATAAAGGCAAGAGCCCAAAAAGAAAAGAAAGGAAAAGCAGAAAAAACACAGCAATTTCACCTTAAAGAGAGACAAGAGGCTATCAATCAGTAGCCCCTCGATAGCCCCTTCTTTCCTGTGTCAAAAAGAAAGCCTTGGAATTGCTGAAAAAGTCTCTCCCTTCCTCCCCCTCTCTCCCTCTCTCTCTCTCTCTCTCTCTCTCTCTCTCTCTCACATCCTTCAATCATAAAGCCATCGATTGCAAAATCATTTCTTCCCTCATTTACTGATGGGTGTTCCTGTGCCATCTGCTTGCTCGGCTGGGACTTATCCTCTTTTCTTTTTACATTCCTGTCCTCCTCCCTCTTGTGTATTCACAGAGATGGCACATGGTCCATTGAGCCTGTGCTTTTTTTATACAGTCTATATCTATTTAGTGT